GTCCTTCACGCAGTGAAGAGCTTGAATGGCGTCAAGATAAATGATATTTTTCTTGATTGGTATAAGCGTGTTATGTTTTAGCGAACCGTTGCACATCTAAAGTGAGAATGACAGGTCTTATGATTGAATGACATCATCAGAATCTCATGACAAAGCCCAACATGGTTAAAAAAAAAGAATATGCCTTGAAGGAATCGTCTACATGTACGTCAAACATGATTCGATGGAAAGCAGATTCATATTAGCACTTTCTAATGCGCTCGGGTTGAGTGAAAACAAAGATATAGTTGAATAGTGCCTTGTAACTTAAATTTTATCTTGTTCTCTCTTAGAAAAAAACAATGTGTATTATGAGTATAGACTCATCTCATTAAATAGTTGATACTACGTAAAGCGGTTGTCTAATAACCTTACAAATACATATTAGTTTTATTTTTGATATTGTATTTTTTTTCAATCTAGCATTGTAATCATACTCTATGTCAATGGATAATACAACAATCTATGACAACAATGGCGTTCACGCTGTTGATCCATCTCTTTCGAAAATAATCAAATTTTGGTTGATTGTCTTTTCTGAAGCAGTATCTATTCCTTGTTATTTGTTTGTGATCTACAAATACCTGGCTCATAAAGACATGCGAGAAGGCCTTCATAATCATGCTCTTATTGGCAAACTTATTATCAACTTCGTCATCTTGACCATTGATTTATCTATGCATTTGAGCTTTCTTCGCTTGGGTAGCGTTTTTCCTTCTACTCCAGGTGGTTGTCTTCTCTGGTAGCTGGTCGACTATGGTTTTTGGTTCGGAGATGTTTTTCTAACATGTTGGATGTCAATCGAACGATACATTCTTATTTTCTACACGAATCTGGTCAATACACCATTCAGACGCCTGTTTATTCACTACATTCCATTGATTTTTTTCACTTTCTATTGTCCTATTATTTATGTTTATTTGATATTTTTCTATCCAATACCGCATGATTATGACTATTCCCTTCTTCTATGCGGTGGTCCTTATTACTACAACGGTATACCAGCCTGGTTAATATGGTATGAATCCCTCGTTCATTATGTCATTCCCATCTTTCTCATTGTCATACTTAGCGGTGCCATGGTCATCCGTGTTTTAGTGCAGAAGTTTCGCTTACGTCAAACCGGTCGGTGGAGGAAATACAGGAAGATGCTCATTCAATTTATGTGCATATCAGTGATATACATCTTTGATCTACCTTACATTATTGTCACCATTGTACGTTGGCCAGGGTTACCCGATTTCGGAGAAGATGTACAGGGACCCTACTTTTACTATGTCAACTACCTTCCGACAATTCTACTCTCGTTTACACTTCTCGGCACCATTCCAAACTTGAAAGAAACCCTTGTTGCTTGGATTCACTGCAAAAAACCACAAAGAACAGCTTCGGTCGCTCCTTACATGACCTATCGCTTCTAAGAGCGCCACATGGAAATTAATAAATATCCTAAAATCGATGTAAACCGTGATTAAATAAATGTCTCTATGTTGTTCTGCTTTCAATAAAATTAGCTCCTACTGTTGTTAACGAACTTATATGGACCGTCAGATATTGTTCATTTCATGATCTTATATGAAGAGAATATTACATCATGATGTCAATCAGTTTGTACAAAAGTTATCTCCGATTTAAAATTCTGAAGAAAATGGTTTTACACGATTTTTTTCGAATTATTTTTAGTAGATTCGTCACCTATAACAAAGCCAAAAAAAGACCAAAATCATATTCAGATTCTTTTTTGAACAGATACATCGGTTCACACAAAACTTTACTTTAGTCGCAAAAAAAATCGATTCTCAAATATATTCTAATTGGTCACCGATCACAAAATAATAAAGTGCTGACTTACACAATATAGTGGCATAGTTTATTCGATTGAGTTTCACTTGCTCTGCAACGCTGATGATACGAAACCTTCAATGTTCTTGATACAGCTAGAATATTGAGTGATCATTGGTAAATAGTATTTTCGGCAATATTGTTTAAGAGAGGGTCTACAACAGAATCATCAGGAGAAAAGTTTTTAGTTTTCGAATAAGATATCTCAAATGATAGGTTTTGTGAAATCATAGTCAAATCCAAAACATTAGGCCACTTGATTTTACCTGTGAAAAATGGCAGTTGAAACGAAGTATAAAGACTCTGTGTTGTCATTCTTAATAATTGTATAAAATGGGAATGCTCAGTATTTTGACATTTTTTCAAGAATTCTGTTGGACTGTTTAAGCGTAGGACCGTCTCATTGGATAAAGAACAGTGTAGGATGCGTCTAAGTGAACTAAAGATCTCACTTACATCCTTAAAGCCATCCAACATCCACACCGTCGCTAGATAGTACCAATTCTCCCAAGGCTGTCTTGACAGAGGATTCACATCAATTGCGAAATCGTCGCTTCAATGGAAACAAAGTAATCGATTGAAAGGATCCTCTTCAGATTCTTATTATCACATATAAATGAAGTTATTTTTACTTAAGAAGGATCATGTCTTGAAATATGGTACTATTCAGACATCCCTTTCTCGATTTGACATGTGCACCTAAATTATCGATGTAGAAAACTTCTGAGTTCAAATTCTTAGCACATTTGATTGCACTGATGGAAGCTATAAAAAAATAGATACTTCGAACGCTCACTCGTTCTGATCGATCTCTGGAATTAGTAGGCTTATCACAAAAATCCTGCGACAAAATCTTTCAAAGAAAAAAGAACTCTGTTGACACGTGTTTCTTTCATGAAATAGGCCTCCAAGATTAGAAATTCTCGTAAAGGAGAAAATTGTACTTAAGTAATGATCGCTCTGATCGACGAGGAAACTTCGACAATCGGCAGGCATCGAATCGCCTCTTGAGTGAAATCAATTTGACAAGCAATAGAAAAATACCTTGAGATTGATCAAGAGAATTAATTGATGATATATGTGCGTTGTTTAGAAATTGAACTGTTGAAAGACTCGTTGTTCAGTGAACGAGAAGAGATGATTTGTAGGTAATCTTTGTGGACTACAAATGTCCAATTATGTTTTTCACTAAATAGTTAAGCGTTTGCAATTGATTTTACTTGATATGATTGATTAGGCTATCCATTTGCAAGTCTGCACATAAATAAATCGAGACGAGAAGATGGGCTTAGCATTCTCGCTGTAGTCCAAATTAAACACTCTATGTTGATTTAAAATTTTATTGTATTTACATTTATATATTAGCTTCGTGTCTTTCTTGAATGCTTCGACGAAAGGAGCAGTTGAGCAACGTGTCGGTGATATGCTGAGCACCAATATCGATGTAGCGAGCGTTTACTGAGCGTTGATTTCCCAGTGAACGCCAATAAATATAGTCAATAATGCAGTGTTTTCACTGAAACTGCACACTCCTAATCGCAATTCATCAACGATTTTCGATACATGATATAAATCACGATTCACTGGCAATTTCATGACAAGAAGAATGGCTGAATACTTGAGTCAAGTATTTCATTTGATATTTTTTAAATTTCCAGATATTAATGCAGCTATAACTCAAAAAGAATGACTCGACAATTATTTTTACTTTTGGATAGTTTGTTACATCTTGAAGATTCGTACTAAATATGTGTTATTAGTGAATTTATTTCATCCAACACGAAACAAAAGAAGACAAGTCTTTGTTGGTTGTACACCCGAATCATGCCATTTTATTACAGAAGCTATTCAAAACTGTACAGATTGATGTTATATATTAGACATGTTTTTTTTTCTTGTCTTCAAGAATGATGAAGAAAGGGAAGTACTTTTAAATCACTTTGAATCAATAGAAATTAAAGTATTTTATAAGAGACACAACAAATTCGTCATGCTCAACGAAAAACTAGCAATACAGTAAGTAGTACTTATATTAAACTGATGAGCGATTTTGAATAAAAGTCATCCTCTTGAATGTGTTCAATACAATATCATTTCACAATTGGTCAAACTAATAAATCATGATAAAATCGTTGAGTTTTAGACGATTTTCCTCACATGGATATTCTTCCTATATATTCTTTCTTCCGACACGTCTCATTCTACAACATGAGAAGAGTTTTTGCCTTTGTCATCCAATTACAAAGATAAGTTTTATATTCAGTAAACCATTGAGCAATACGACAGATATAGTTAAAGCCCTGACCAAAACACTCACCGAATGCCACAAACAGGCAGAAAACAATCTATGCTAAAATCTTCAAGGATTGACTATCCGCTCTTATCATCGAAAAATTCATCAAAGACAAAGTTAGATCTATGATATCTCAACTCAATCTTATTTCGTATTTCTATCAGTTAATACCTATGAGAATAGTACTGCAGCTGGAAACAATTTTCGATGAAGTCTTGAAGTCAATGTCAAGGATTGACGTCATCGAAGAAACATATATTAATCGTGAAGCATAGGAGAAGAAAAATACTGCGAAAGCAGATCGCACTTGGATGAAATCGCCGATAAAGAACTGAGGAATGGTTAATAGTCTGATTCGAGCTATTGTATTGTCTTATATTCTGGTCGATACTGTTAAACTAGAGAAAAAAAGAGACATCGTGTTAATACTTGAGTCTTGCATCTGTGCTTGCTATTATGTCCTTACTTCAAACTAGACATGCATAAATAGCACCGTTCATTACTAATAAGATATGTTTTTTACTCTCTGTTCTATCAACTTCAAGAACCAGCACATCTATTTATTATGAATTATCTCAACAAATTATCAAAGAAATTGTGTACTACAAAATAAGAATGACTGGATAACCTTGCCATAAAAAGGAACTTTCGCTTTGTTTGGTCGACAATGACTAAACTTATTCTAAGATCAAGAAAGATCTTCTTGTTGATCAACATATTCTTAGATAAACACAGTTGATTCATCGACAGATTAATTCACTGATCTTTTGTCTTGTATTTAAGAAACAATCATATTTTCTATTGAATAAAAAATATTTCCGTTTTTCTATCGATGAATCCACAGTTGTATGAGACGAGATTGTTGTCGACGAATGGAACATTTTTCTGACACTGAATTTCGCAACCATTCAACTAACTCATCTTTTGAAAATAATAATGAATTATTATTCCAAATATCATCTTGACATCTACAATTTAATGCTCGAAGATTATCCATCGTACGGGCAAGATCAAGGATGATTGCTCGATTTTCAACACGAATTAGAAGAACTTCACCTTGACGTTCGAGTGATGAATCACCCAAGATAAAATATTGAGCAGTGTTCATATATCGATTCATTTTTGCACGATAATGTTTCAAATGAAGTCGACGAAGTGATGAATGAGTGATATTTAATTGCGTCAAGGATAAAAATGGCATCGCATCAACACATAAAAACTGCAGACGAGGTGCTCGATTGAGTAAATTTTTCAGTTGAAATTCGGATTGACTATTTTCTCTTGTTTCAATTACTTCTAGAGATGTTAAATGATCCAATGTAGGAACGATAGTCCAAAAATTATTATCGAAAGGAAGTCTCAATGTCAGCCTACAAATAAATACTAGGGTAGTATGTAGGATATAAATTTGATTTATCTATGCTTCCTTTATAAAACACGTTAGTCACTCGATCGTAAGAGTTATAGTCGTGAGCATTAAGACAAGTCGATTTCGACCATTTGTTCGAGTAAGCATAATAACTGTTTCCAAAGCAATAGGGCAAAGTGTAGACAATAAATACCTTTTGGGTATGTTTTGGCCAGTCGCATGGAACAAACCATTTATGATCTTGAAGCCAAAAAGATGTTTGGAAGGTTTTCAGTAAGTCGTCAAGTTTTTCTTCCATATTATTATGTTCAAATAATAAAGCTTTCATTAGAAACCGAAATATTTCTATATTAGGTGTATAATCAATCAAGAGTTGTTTCCATTGATTTTCGCTCAAATTAATTGTACTTGTCTCAAGCATCAAATGTTACAAATTTGGCATATTTTGCAAAATATTAGTCAAGGCAGAGAGTGAACCATCAAAGTTAAGTTTCAAACTAATGATTGATGGAACGGTATCTCTTGTATCTAATTCAACATCACTACTCTGCCCAAATTTAATACAAAGATGCTGAAGATAAGATGTCGAATTCAATAAATGAGCGAGTCCATAAGAAGAAAATATAACATTTTTTATTAATAAATATATAATGGATGTTGAAATCATTGGTAGTCTAGCAAAAGTAAGTTCACTTCCGAAAATCAAATCTAAGGTGCAATGTGTGAGTCGGGGGTAGACGCCAAATGTTATTAATTATCTGTTGGGAATTCGTATCATATGCAACGTGACATTCAATGATTTTCAAATGAGTAAGATATGATAGATAAAAACAATCCGATATAATATTCAGAATTATGTTTGAAGAATCAATTTTTTAAAGCAGAAGTGATCGTAGATGAGTAAATTCATCAATAGTAAGACCATAAGGAATGAGAAGTTCAGATAATTGTGGAGTTTCTTCACCATCTGATAAACAAAATGAGCTGACATGATCAATAATTAATGGCAAACATGGTTCACACATAAGATGAAAATTTGATTTCGAAACAGAACGAAAATCCAGATGATATGATCGAAAATAAAGGAATAGAAGTCTGTCGACACGCGTGTTGAGTACTTCAAAAGCGTGGATGAGTTGTATAGGATCGAAAACCTCGAATAGATCGAGGAAGAATTCATTGGGTAACTATTCCAACTCCATCTTTCTTTTTCTCTTCAAGAGAAAAACAAAAAGAAACCACACCGCGTGCTTTTTGGTTCAATGAAAAGGCAAATGTTCGTTTTTATTATAGCATGCTTTTTTAAGCTTGCGTTCGTTCTATGATGAATGTTGCAAGCATTGCTTATCGAGTGAATCATAGTATTCTCTTTCATGATGAAGATGATGATCGAACGAGAGAAAAAAACCTTGTTCGAAACTTTGACCTTTTTTTGCTTTTTATATTCATGTCGATGTGAGAATGAGACAATTTTTCCCACCTTGGAAAGTCCAATAGGTAGATTTGGTTTTTCCCTGACTACAAAACGATGTCTAATGAACTATTACAAAGAGAAAACGATAATTAACAAGTTTCAATTTGGTTATCGAAGTTTCGTTAGAAAAATCGACTTCAGAGCAAACATGATTCTATCGTCACCCATTGATAGGCACTCCAAATTTTGTCCGGTCAAGATTATGATAATGTGAGTTTGTTAACTTGAGAAAAATTGACAATCGAATGCTGGAAAACTTGATAAACTGAGTGAAGGTACACTGCAACACAATAAATAACGTTGTTTAATATATGACCAGCTGCATCAATCGTAAGACCTGTATGTTAAATTTTCATCCGTTTTCACAGTACTCTGCATTGCTCACAGATATCAGTCGATAAAGCTACATGCACAATCAAGTCTTTTCCTAAACGAATTAATATTTGGTGTGGGTCTATGCTATTGTCGTTAAGAATTTCATAATTACATGGACTAGGGTTGCCTGATGAAAAGTTAAAAATTGAACTTTTCCCATTCAAATTTACCATATTTGTACTTTCTGAAAAAATATCGAAAGTAATTACCTAACATTTAAATGCATAAGTTGACTTTTTTTGTTAGGAAAATCCTTTTTTTTATCAAACATCATTTATTCGTATAAACCTCATTCGTAGAAAGAAAAGTTACAACTGTATATCCACTATTAGAAATCATTGTTTTCAAGAGAGCGTGGAGTTAGCAAAGAGAAAGAGCAACACAAATTATAGCATCTATATATACACATAGTTGAAAATAGTCTTACAAAAGAAAAAAACTAAACCTCATTCATTAAAATATGTTTCTTGTTTTTCCAAATGCTTCGTTTGTTGTTGACCGACGCTTTCAGCAAATTTTCTTGAGACATGATAAATTTATAAAAATGAGCATGATGAATATTGACATTCTTTCTAATTTCCAACTCAAGAGCAATCTATTCGATATCAATCGATTACGATAATCCGCCAATAAATGATTCATGTGACTAAATATAACTTCAACATACGCATTGCTATATTGAATAGTTCGAACCAGTTTTCTATACATCATAAGCTACAATCGTTTTGCATTGAATACATATTACGTAGGAAATCACACTTTGCTTTTCATCTTAAATCCGATTACATGAGTTTCATCACCCCACAGTGGCCGCTGTTGGTTTATTACAAGATCTATAGTCACCGCTATCTAGCTTCTCATAAAATAAATACTATGTATCGAAAACCACAAAAAATTGACGGTTTACCGTAGTTTTACTAGTCCAGTTACCGGATCCATTTACGTAATAAATCACCGGTTAACCACAATTTACCAATAATTATTATCAATAAAGTATATGGCTTTAGTTTGATACCGAATTTAGACTAGTTGTAGTTTTTTCAGAAAGTTGTTTTATTTTCACATTCTTTTTTCTCATTTTGACGTGCTTCAAATAATGTCAGCACGCTGAATCGACTTAAAACATCAATGACAGCTTGAAAATATCTTCTAATCTAGATCTAGTTTAGAATTTCTTCAGGACTTTTAATTGGTCACAACTGGCGAATCAGTTCATCTGCAAACAGCTTCTGTTAGTCTGCTCAGCATGCAAGATGCATTGAAGATAAATATATTTTTGACTGACCAAGTTTTTATTGCGGTTACATTATCTAAGAATTGTATGAACAACGAACTCTAAAGCTACTGTTTTGTAACGACATCTATTTTCATGTTAGTTGTTATGTTTATTTCACTACTGAATGAGTACGAATATAATTTATATGCTGAACTAGGCTATCATATATTTTGAATCTATGAATAAAAAACAAGAAAATGGTACTCTTCGCAACTAACACAGGGTTTTTCTGTTGTGACGTGCAACTTACTATTCCTTGTGAACGATTAACCGCCGGTTTTTATTCATACTACTAAAACTAATCCGGTATTTGTAGGATGCGATTTTTATCGATTATAGACATAGCTAATACCTCGAAGTCTAAAATAGTATTTACCGGTATATAGACAAACAATAAAATAATGATGAACATAAATATTTGTCGCTTTTTTTATAGTGCATTCTATTACATGTATATCCGTACTCGTCAATTTGGTATCCTCAACCAGGTACAGGTACAAGTAACGGAAGCACGGATAACAGTTTTCTAGTCCTGATGTTTATTATGCTTTTTTTATTGTTTTTTTTGTCTAAGGAGTTTTTACGAATTTTTCAAGTTAAATTGGTCTTGATCAGCATTTTGAAAAGAGCAACTTCTCAAAAATCTATGACTCATCGCCTTAGAATAAATCAACTATACAAAAAAACCATATCAGCGATTTAATACTAGAAATACAGTAAAATTATATTTGTGTAAATAGACTTATTCAAAAAAGAATAATTTGGAAACTGGAAGTCGAAGGGAACTCAGATCCATCGAAATCAAACATTTCTGAACAGAGAGAGAGTCGAAAAATATGATTTTCACCTGAACCTTCTTTATAGATGATCCTTATGTATAAAAAAAAAAGTTGTATCATTCTATATTCAGATAAGAAACAAGCACGCGCATGTAGGTAGTGGAAATGACTCGTGTTTATTTAAGATTTGTTTCACGTCATATGAATGATGTCATATTGATGGTGTAATTACTGTCTTGGTTAGATAAATAAGCGCGATTATTTTATTTAAAACGTAACAGATATCTGCTGTGTCTAATAATAGAACCAAACGAGAACGAATGCATCTTTTAGGTGAGAATCAAGAGAAATCTTTGTTGAATTTTATTGAACAAATTTCATCGAAATAATTCTCGCTCTTTTGACGTTTAGAAATGAAAAATCTTTTTCGATCACGTCTTCCATTACAGTTGACATTATCTCAAATAACTAAATTATCGAATCAATTTAATTTATCATCAATAGAAATCGAACGATGGTATGAACGTTTTATTCTTT